GAAATGCACTTCTGAACAGTGTACCATCACCGAGAGAAGCTGAATGACCCCTGGGCATACAACAGCCACCCCTAGCACAGCAGACAGCAAGCCAACACTCCCGAAGGAGTGCCCCTGTGGGGCAGAGACCTGGAAAGAAAGTGCCTCAGGAATGCATGTTTCAACGGGCCACCTCTGATTTTCGGCAAGGTGGCCTGTGTGGAAAGACAGCACGATTGTCTCAAGGGCTAGAAACTCAAACTGGCCGGTGGAATTCTAAACCCAACTACTTCCCAAAATCACCCAGCTGGACAGACAGAGAAACCTTTGCAAAGGGAAAGGTTACAGACTGGAGACGTTCCTCCCTCTTGGTATGGGGCAGTAACCCCACTGTAAGGCATTCCCCACCCCATCAGCGAAGCACACACCGCTCGGGACATTACTTGTTTTGGAAGAATGTTTTGTGGTCAGCCAGCACCACTCCAGGAATCTCCTTGAGCTTCAGGAATCTCTGAAAGGATGACGGCGGGAGAGCCTGGGTTGAACCGATCTCGTTCAACTCCACCCCAGTGCCACTGGTGCTGCTCCTCAACGCTGCCACCATCCTGCCAATCTGAGAAGCAAAGGAGAACATTGGTGTTGACAAAGGTTTACACCCAAGCCCTCTACTGAAAGACCATGAGCTTATGCGCCTCAGTTAGTACAGTTTTACACATATTTCAGTCCGTATAAATGGATGAGACCAGAAGATCACACCCAGCTGGACAACTGACATAGTTTAAGAAGAGAAGAAGAAATTGGATTTATACACCGCCCTTCACTTGGAGCCTCAGAGCGGTTTACAACCACCTTCCCTTCCTCTCCCCACAACAGACACCCTGTGAGGAAGGTGGGGCTGAGAGAGCTCTGAGAGAACTGTCCTTGAGAGAACAGCAGCTTGCCCAAGGTCACCCAGCAGCTGCATGTGGAGGAGTAGAGAATCAAACCCGGTTCTCAAGAGTTAGAGTCCACACTCCTAACCACTACTGGCACAGTGACTCCCAGAAATATTGGACAGTTCCTTGGAAACATGTGGGTGCACCTGAGAACATTCTCAACTCATGTGCCCCCCCCACCTCTGTACCTCTGCTCTGTGCCCTCCAACCAACACTTCCCAAGAAAAGAGTGGGCCATCACACTCTGTTTACTTCACCCCCCCGGAGCCTGACTCAGAAGGGACATCCTTAAAGGAGGAAGGGGCTGAGTTGTTAGGAACCTTGCATCCCATTCCCCAGAGTTTTAGCTTTGGAAGAAACCCTCACCACAGGCCCCAATATCGTCCGGGGACAGGGGTCAATCCACCCTGATAAGGAGTCTGGGGCATCAGACAAGAGAAGATGCCTTAAGCCACCGTGCTAAAAGATGGGATCCAGATGCATGGCGATTGCCCTCACATAGCTCTCCCTCTCCACGTGTGCTAGACCAGCCCCACCCCCAAGTTCATCCCCAGGAACAAAAAGACAACATGAGTCTGGGGCATCAGACAAGAGAAGATGCCTTAAGCCACCATGCTAAAAGATGGGATCCAAATGCATGGCCACTGCCCTCACATAGCTCTCCCTCTCCTCGTGTGCTAGACCAGCCCCCCCCCCATTCATCCCCAGGAACAAAAAGACAACAGTGAACCCAAATGGTGGCCATGGCTAGAAATCCAAACACTGGCCTTGCAGTGTGGGGCTATTCCGTTCCCAGCAGAGCCTTTATGGAAAGGGTTTTGACTTGTGAGACCAACAGCAGCCTGCCTGGTGCCCCAGGAACGGTAGAACTGCATAGCTGGCCCCAAAGCCTTTCATAGTAGCTTCCTCACTTTACCTGCTGCTGCAGTTACCTTATCTGTTCACCTACTTGTCCTATGCTGGGGGGTCCTATGGTGCCCGATAACACCTTTCCTGGTGCCCGTCAACTGTTTTTAGAAACAGGGCAGGGCCAGATGGAGCTTTTGTACAGCAGGGCTTCTGATTGGTCAGCGGAGATCTAGATCTAACTGGGTGTGCAGATTTTTTTTTAAAAAAAAAACACACTGCTTTGGCGGCAGCGACCACTACAGCACGCAGATCTTCACTAGAAACAGGGCGGGGCCAGATGGAGCCTTTGTACAGCAGGGCTTCTGATTGGTCACTGGAGATCTAACTGGGTGTGCAGATTTTTTTTAAAAAACAACACCACTGCTTTGGCAGCAGCGACCACTACAGCACACAGATCTTCATAGCATGACTGAATGTAAGCTGTGTGTATTCCAGGAAAGCATTTTAAAACGACACATTCATTTAAAAAGGCATCCTGCTAAACGGAGCCCCTGGCTGAAATGCTGAAGAGCTACTGTGAGAGTTACGTAGAACTTCAGTCCCTGATGTTTTGTGGTTGGCCCTGCCTCCTGTGGCAGCCATTCTGCTGTTGTGGCCACCACCACGTCAGGATTCCAAACACGCTTGCAAGCTCAAAAATGTTGAGCCCCCCCCCCCCTCCCCCCGGTCCTATGCTTTAACTCTGTCTCCCTGGACAGCTCCCTTACTGTCTCAGCAACCTTTCATTGCAATGTTCTTCTTGTCCTGGCTAGATAGCTCCCCTGCTATCTCAGAGTCAAATGAGACACAATGGAAAGATTCAAGAGCATTTTATCAATGTGTCTGCCTGTTACCAGGTATAAAAAGGGTGACCCGCTTTTAAACAAAAGTGTAACAAGCTGGTGAGTCTAGCTGAACCTCAGCCCCTGCTTTGCTGGTTTCAGCACTCCCCCCCAAAAAACACCTGCTCCGGATGCAAAAAAAGCAATGTCTAGAATGCAGCAAGGGAAGGCAGGGGAAGAGCTGAACCCCCCCTCACTTGCTTTTTTTAATAACTTTTTTATTGCTTTTATACTATAAACTACAAACTACACACTACAAATTCAGAGTAGCAAGGCTCAATAATAAACTAACTTCCACTTCATATATAAAGTATTCTAATAAAAAAGACAAAACATTGATTAATTATGATAGCACACATGAGCAATGGTATATATTCTATAAAGCATAACACAGAAAAATCTCAGATCTCCATTTAGGTGCCGCCTTCTCTTTACGCTGCTTCTTCTTTTGCCAGGGGATTTTAATCTTGTATGATCTGGGAGCGAACCCCCCTCACTTGCATACTCTGCTTCTGTTCAAGTCGCTCCCCGTCCCCCACTTTGTATGTTGACAGGTGGACGTGTGAATAAATACATGCGGGTCCTTGCACCACATCTGGTCTGACCCCTCAGCAGTTCTGCACTGGGAAGCTGCTCCTTGCCTTATAGGGCCTGCCTGATCAGTAAGCTGGGGAATCTAAACCCATCAGTTCTCTGGCGGTGATACAAGTGGGACCTTCTATGAGCCTCGTGGAAGGAAAACCAAGTGGCACCCAGTTGGAGACTGAGTGCTCTTTGTGGCATACCATCTCGAGAATAGGTTTGTTACCTCAACAGACAAGCTCTTTTGGGATACAGGATCCGTGTGCATCCAGAGGACAGAGGAATTCGTTAGCGCGATCTGCAAAAAACAAAGCACCCATCACCTCACATCGATAACAGTGTCCTGGTTGCAGCCTAGGATCTCTGCTGGGGACACATCAAAGAACCTCCCCCGAGGGTAAGAGACTGCACAGAAGCCACAGAAATACGGCTTACTAAGAAACCACCTCAGTGGGAAATGGGTAGGATTAGGGAGGGTTAGTCATCTTCAAAATCAGGGTTTTAACAGAATACGTAGTCTGCTGATGGGCCAAGAGGCCACCTTCTGGTGGACCACCTGCAGTCCATCAAGGAGGAAGAGCCCCCAGGGCAGTCCAATTCAGTTCCATGCCAGCAGAGCTGATCAAGGCTTCTGCTCTCATTTCCAAAGCAAGATCTACAAGGCTTGTGTCAAGGGATAGAGCAATGCCACTCTGTTCACAAACACTCGTCGCTAACACTGGCTTTCAGTATAATACTGGAAGCTCACGCAGCATGCCATTCTAGCATTTTCAGGATCTGCTAGTTGCTGACATGCTTGCAAAGAAAGGCATGAGGCGCAAGCCATGGTCCGATGCACAAGGTCCATTCTAAAGCAAAACTCAGGATTATCTCGTATTAGTTTTACCCTAACTGCTAAGGAGATCCTGAGTGCACTCCTCAGTGCACACCTTTTTGCTTTGCAAACTTAACAACAGTGGATCGCAGGGGTTCTGATTTTTAAGGAACCAGATGGTACAAATGCTGTGCTGTTAAAGTCTTGGTGTCTAACAGAGCACAACTGTCTTTTCTTCATCCATTTCAATCTGGCTTCAGGGCTGTATTCGGTGCAGAGACAACTTTAGCTGCCCTGGTGGATGATCTCTTTTTTAATGAACAGACAAAGGTAATGTATCCTCTTTTATTCCTGTTTGGCTTGTCCGTGGGCCTTTGACACAGTGGACCACCTCTTTAGAGCCCTGCTGTGGGGAGGGAACCTGTGGTTCCAGTCGCTTTGGCCCAGCTGCACGTAAGGTGACATCCCTGTGGACTCTGCAGCTTGGGATTTACACAATAGGAGGACCATAATAAATAATAATAAAATAATAAAATAAAATAATAAAACAATAAAACAATAAAAATAATAATAATAACAACAACAATAAATGTGGGTTCCTTTCAAGGCACTGGATCTTACCTAGAAAGCCTTTCACAACCTGGGGGCTGTACCCCCCCCGAGGGACCAAGAGGAGCCCATGGAGCAGCTATGCGCCTCACTCACATCCCTATCATGCCAGCCATTGGGACTGTCAGATGTGTTTCAATCCAGTCACAGGCCTGTTTATAGCCCCAGGCCTTCAGAATGGCCTTCTGGAGGAAGTCAGATCAAGGTGGGTAGCTGTGTTAGTCTGTTTGTAGCAGCAGAAAAGAAGCAAGACAATAAGCAAGCACCTGAAAAGATTTTTAAAAATTGTGGCAGGGGTATGAGCTTTTGTGAGTCACTGCTCACTTCTTCAGATCTGAGGAAGTGAACCACGACTCACGAAAGCTCATACCCCGGGCATTTTGTTAGCCTTCAAGGTTAGCCTTCGGGGCGCTTGCTCTTTTCTGCTGAAGTTAAAGCAACTATTTCCCCCCCTCCTAGTTTGTAGGAAAGCGCGTAAAAACTGGTTTAATAAAGAAGGCTTTTTATCGGAGAGTACGATAGTGCAGCTGGAATCTGATTCATCATAATGGCTTGTGGATAATATTGCCTGATAGCAAAATTACTTGGAATGGTCTGATATTTGTCTGGTACGTGACCTCATCTAAATTCCATGCGCTGAAGCACGACTCCTCCTGCCCCCGGCAGCCCAAACGATCCCCTAAAATGCTGCTTTTGGAGGTGGAGGTCCTTCAGAAGGAACAATGGGAAGAACTGGAGAGCTGGGGGGGGGGGGGGGGGGGGGGAGAATCTCCCCTTGTGCAGGTGGATCTTTTCCACAGGATCCAACCTGATATGTCTGTGCGCCAATAGAATATTTTTAGGTGTATCACTGGGGTTCTCCTGAAGTAGGAAGGAGGCATTTAAACGGATTTAATAAACTGATGCAAATACCTGTTTTTAATAAATAGTTAAATGTATTTATTTATTGCATTAATATCCCGCCCATACCGTAAATGGGCTCAGGGTGGGTTGCAACACTTCCATGAATACAAAAAATTTTTAGAACACATTATAGACATATAAAATCAATAATCACAGCTTGCCGTAGGGAGAATCCAGCCCATTGACGTAGGTAGGTATGGCCGGTTATCAGTGGGTGGGGGACAGCAGCCTCAGGGGACCATGCGTGGACGCCCGCTGCCTCAGTCAAAGGCCTGGTGGAAGAGCTCCGTCTTGCAGGCCCTGCGGAACTGAATAAGGTCCCACAGAGCCCTGATCTCAGTATGGAGCATGTTCCACCAGGTGGGGCTAGGCGGACGTCCTTTGGGCCAGGGATCACCAGGAGATGTTGACTCTCAGAGCGTAATGCTCTTCTAGGCATATATGGGAAGAGGGGGTCCCTTGGGTATGTTGGGGGAGAGCATGTTGCATGCACAGACAAAACAAGAGTGGGCAGCAAGAGTTACGGCACCAGAGTTGACGAAGCGAGGAAAGGAGCTCAAGACGCTGACCACCTACCTGACCCAGCTCCAGGAAGCAATCGATGTTCTCCAGCCTGATGGGAAACTTGTTTTTCTGCATGTCGTAGGCCATGCGGGAGCTGCCGATGTAATCAAAGCTTTCCTGGGGAGGGGGGGGGGAGAGAAATCCAGAGATGAGTCGGATTCTCATCTTATCACCTGCTGAGTGTTCAAAGTATTTCGCATACATCATCCTGCAATCCCAATGACGATGCGGTAAAGTAGATCGCAGTGTTGTTGCTATCGGTGAGGGGGGCGAAACTGAGAGACTCGCCAACGTCACTTTGTTGGAGGTGGGATTTGAACCCTAAATTTCTTGATTCACAGCTCAGTCTTTTCAAGGAAGTCTCGTATGCACTTAGGCGGGAACCGTGGCGGTCCTCGAGCAAAGAGGGGAAATGACAACGCGAGATGGCTGAACGTGAGATTAACTCACAAGTTTGAAACAATGGACGCCCCAAGGCTGAATGCACTACCTACAGATGCTAATTTTCTGCCCTCAGGCCTTTCCCCTCTGCCCCAATCAAGCTAATCACAATATGCATTGTACCGGGTGCATCCTTACAAACATTTTTTACAACACCCCTCCCACCTTCTGACTAGGATAAAAGGACTCAGATCTTCATTTCTACTCTGCTCATGCCTGACGAAGGGAGCTCTGACTCACGAAAGCTTCTACCCTGGAACTCTGGTTGGTCTCTAAGGAGCTCCTGGGCTGGGATCAGTGTTCCCTCTAAGCTGAGTTAGTGTGAGCCAGCTCACAGTTTATTAGCCTCTAGCTCACACATTTTTGTCTTAGCTCAGGGAGGAGGGGCTCCAGAGCAAACTAATTTATGCAGTCGCCAAACTGCTCACTCACAACTTTAATGCCAGTAGCTCACAAAGTAGAATTTTTGCTCACAAGACCCCACAGCTTAGAGGGAACATGGGCTGGGATCTGACTGTTCTGCTGCAGACCAAGAGGGCTCTACCCTCTGAACATGTCTAAAGGCTCTTAAGTGTAAGGACGTTGCACTGGTGACCAAGATCAAGTTAATTCATGCCGTGGTGTTTCCCATCACTGTGTACGGGTGTGGAAAGTTGGACAATGAAGAAAGCTGACAGGAAGAAAGTGGATTCACTGGAAACGTGGTGCTGGAAGAGGGTTTCACAGATACTGTGGACCAGCGGACCTCTGTGCTGAGTTAGTGTGAGGTAGCTCACAGTTCTTCAGCCTCCAGCTCATACATTTCTTTCTTAGCTCAGGAAAAATGGCTCCAGAGCAAACTGATTTATGCAGTATCCAAATCACTCACTCACAACTTTAAGGCCAGGAGCTCACAAAGAATTTTTGCTTGCAAGACTCCACAGCTTAGAGGGAATATTGCTGTGGACCCCCAAAAGTCAAATCAGTGGGTTCCAGATCAAATCAAGCCTGAACTCACTGCCACAGGAAGTGGTGGCAGCTACAAGCATGGACGGCTTCAAAAGGGAATTAGATAAGCATACGGAGCAGAGGTCCATCAGTGGCTATTAGCCACAAGGTATAGATAGGGACTCTGGGGCAAGTGATGCTCTGTCTTCTTGGTGCTGGGGGGGGGTCAACAGTGGGAGGGCTTCTAATGTCCTGGCCCCACTGGTGGACCTCCTGATGGCACTGGTATTTCTGGCCACTGTGTGATACAGAGTGTTGGACTGGATGGGCCTTTGGCGTCTCTTATGTTGTTATGTTCTTAACTCTCCCTAGAAGCTAAAATGACTAAACCGAGGCTGTTGTACTCTGGCCACATTATTTATTTATTTGGATTTCTATCCCGCCCTCCCCGAAGGCTAAGGGCGGCTAACAGGGCACAATGCCAGATAATAACAATAAGACAATATAAAATGTTAGATTACAAATAGACAATTAAGAAACAATTAAATAGACATCATAAAAACATTTTCAGTGCTCCCCTATTCAATTCCAGATGTTAAGATTTTAAACCAAGATGGTGTTCTCAATGGCATAGCTAGACATTATGAGAAGAGAAGAGACATTATGAGAAGAGAAGAGTCACTGGAAAAGATGATAATGCTAGGAAGAACTGAATGCAGCAGGAAGAGGGGAAGACCCAACATGAGATGGGTTGACTCGGTCAAGGAAGGCATAACCCTCGGTTTGCAAGACCTGAGCAAGGCTATTTTGTTGTTGTTGTTGTTGA